ATAAGGGATCTTCGTCAAAGCCCGGCAAGAGCTGGAAGGGCAATAAGGGCAAGGGCAGAAAAAAACCCTGCCTCCCAAGAGGCTCCGGCTGAAGTGGAAGGGGCGGCAAAGCCGAAGCGGCCACGTCGGAGCCGCAAGTGAGCGCCCACATTGGTGATCTAAGTAAATAGATGTGAAAGTGTTTTTGACATGTTATGTGGTTATGCCAAATGTTTGGTTGGGTGCTTTTGGGGATCAGACATGAGGAGAACCGCATGTCTCTCGAAGCTTTTGAAGCGGGGTGTCAAGCGCTGTGGTTTGCCACAGCGGATCGACCTATGTGAGAAGCTGCGATGGGAACAAAACATCCGTTTGAGCTGCTTTAGCTGTTTCATCATTTTATATACTTCAAGTCTTTTGCTGCTACATGCCAGGCCCTTCCCACAAAGCACGCCAACTGGCGTGGAAATACGGTAGGGGTGAATCTTAGCAGCATTACTTGTGTGGCTTACCCAAGTGCATGCACATGAGGGCTTTCAAAGCATCACATGCAGAAACATCCCTATATATAGAAACATCTTATTCGATACTCTGCTCAGGACACATGCAGAGACCTCATAGCATTCGCGGCGGCGGACTGGCGAGACAATCTTGAGGAAGATGGTCGGACCCTTGCCTGCCCGGTCCTCGCTGCCCTCCAGAACATTGACCCGAAAAAGTCCGCACCAGGGCTTTCAGGCGTAGCCAGTTTTATCAATGTTTTGTATACTGCCCACTGCCCACGGGATTAAGTGTGGAGTACGTGACGTCACAATAGTTCTTCAATGGTATAACCAGTTTTCATTCACCTTCATTCTTCATCCCAGGAAGAGAAACTACTTCGAGTGTTTGAACAGTACAATTTCCTGTACCCCGTTGAGATCACTGTGGAGCAAGATGCCCCTCTCCAGGGGTTCCCATGGTTGATGCCCTCCAAGTTCCTGCAAGCGATGGGTCGTATGAACGATCTTGGTCACCTGCTGGGTGGGAGAAACTCGATATTGGAAGCTGGTTCGATGCTGGAGTTGTTTTGGTCTCGGTTCCAACCTCTTTACCCAAGCCATGACCTCTTTCGGGATGTTGCCGCTGGAAAGAAGCAGCTGAGCCGATGCATCCCGATTTACTGGCATGGCGACGAAGGAACGACCTACAAGCGCGGAGGAGTGTTGGTCGGGAGCTGGCAATCTGCCATTGGATTTGGCACCTCGAAGCGAGCTGCAGAAGTTTCTGAACGGTATCGCCAGATGGGGGAAGGAGTGCCACTCAATTTCCTCAAAACGGGGATGCAAACGCGCATCTTGAGCATTATTTGCCGGAAGGACCTGGTTTTTGTTAGATGCTTTCACAAAATAGTGTTGAAAGTCTTGAACGTCTTTGGCCAATAAAGTCTGTATAAACGAGAGCGCCTTTTTTTTCCTGAAGGAGCTATATTCAGAAGACAGAAGAGTATGGAACGCTCTGCATTGGATTGTAGCCAAAGACTTTCAAAAGATGCAAGAACATGGAGTTGACCTTGGAGATCAGGGCATTGTGTGGCCCATAGTGTTGGGCAACAAAGGGGATTGGTCCTACCTAGTGACTTAAAGAGTGAACAGAAACCAACACTTTGCTTTTTGTTTATACTCTGGGGTCAGAAAATTTGGCTCAGGTTTTTGCAATGCGCCATTTACTGTGTAGGGAAAAACGCCTCTGGAACGAAAAAAAACCCAGATGCAGATGGCGCAAGCCATGTTAGGCGAAAAACCGTGACAATGAACGGGAAACTAGTAGTCGGGGATGGGTTTGGCGCCATCTACCTTTACAATCCGTTTCGTGAAAGACCGCTATAAAATGTTTGGCCCTGAAAGCAGCAAGCACGACATTAGATGGCGCAAGCCACCTTCCAAGGGAAGGATAGAGAAAGGAGAAGTGAATGGAAAGGAAAGAAAAGAAAGGCATCCAAGGAGAGGGAAAGGAGACATTAAGGAAAGGATAGCAAAGGAGAAAGGAAGAGAAGGAGAGAGAGAGAGAGAGATAGAATATGAGAGAAGGAGAGAGAAAGACAGCTCAAAGAGAAGCACATTAAAAACAATTGGAATTTAACAGAGAGGTTGTTTACAAAAATCGACGACTTATATCAGTGTTCTTTGCAGAAGATGGCGCAAGTCTACTCTGGGTGGAATGCCATTTATTATGCTTGAGGATGCATAGGTATATATGGTTATTTTATCACGGTTTTCCGCAGGCGCTTTTGGCACTTTCTGGTGCCATCTACTCGTTTCCGGATATAGCCATCTATTCTGAAAGCGGTGTATATCTTTTTTGCCCTGAATTGTGCATGTGGTCCGAGTATTTGTTCATCATCCCAGGTATCCTCAGCAAACCTTGAGCGCTCCTACCGGCGGGCTCCGAAAGGAGCTGGAGATCAAGATGTTGGGATTGGAGGAGCTGGCATATGCCACTTGTGCTTGTGCGGTAAAGGTGTGGACTGGGAAGATTGGCCATTTGGAGTGAACAACTTGAAAAGGTTTTCACTTTGACTTCTTTTGTGATTTCAGGGTTGTTGGTGTCTTTCAGATCGGGCCTTCTCATTTTGTTTTGAGGAAGGCAGCAGAAGATGCAATGGACGAATCGCACCGCTCTGAGCTCCCACATCCATGGGATAGAGAAGCATCTTTTACTCGTCGTCTGATGATGGACAACAGCGTGAACGCGAAGTCCCGCTTTCACAAATTCGACGCTTGGCACTGTTTGCACCTGGGAGTTGGAAAAGCGTGGGTAGCAAGCTCAATGATGCTATTGCAACCTTTGGTTGATGGGTCGTCAATTGAGAAGCGCATCGCCACCATGTCTTCAGAATACCGGAGTTGGTGCAGAAGGGAGCACATAGACCCCATCTTGACAAAGTTTGACCGCAATTCTTTTGGCGGTTCAAAAGAGGCCTTGGGTAGTTGGAACAAAGCCGCTGTGACATCAAACCTCTTGCGCTTTCTGGAGTACTTCATTGGCACCAAGAGGGAAGAGGTCTTTGCAAGCGAACGGTTGAAGGTGGTTGTCCTTATCGATTTGCTTTCAAAGAGTTTTTTTGAGCAATGTTTTTGAGCGCGCTTTCCCATAAGTAGAGCGGTCGCGGTTAATTATTCATGCCAGTAAGGCTCTTGGCACCACAGCAATCAATGAGTTCTTTCGAGGGATATACGCTCACGATTACTTCATCCCTTCTGCTGAAGCTTTGAAGCTCAGCCAGGACTTGCGCACCTTCATCGGATCCTATATCTTTGAAGCGCAAAGTGCCTACGAGAGTTGTGAAGCGTTGTTTGGACTATACCCCAAGCTTCATGCATTGCATGAAATATGTCACTTGTTGAAATTTCAAGCACAGCGGGCGAACTTCGCTGTCAACCCAGCATCAGAAACGTGCAGCGTTGACGAAGATTTCGTGGGAAGATGCGCAGTATTGACGCGCAGTTGTTCAAGTCGGCTGATGGCCAAAAGGAGCCTGCAAAGGTATTTGACTCAGATCCAAGTTGCGTGGTCCCGCGCATGATAAACAGAGACTGGGGGACTCGGCAGGGGACTTCTGCCTTCAACAATGGTGAGAGGGGTGGGTGTCTGTGTTGGTTGCAATGACCATTAGGGGCACGAATTTTTGGACCATGGGAGAGAAAACGCCTGAGAAACATGTTGGTTTGGGGCCTTACCAGCCATGTCAAAATGGCTTCAAAGTCAAGTACGTGAAAAACCGTGGGGTACGTGAATTACCGTCTTGGTGTGAGGATTTGCGTGGGGTATCGTTAAATTATCTGAATCTTGCAAAAAGGATTCTTTTTCCATCAGGAGTAACAATTTGTCTTCCAGCAGGGCAGCAGGTATATATATACACACGCAAATTTATTTCATACTGTGCGCACACATCAACAAAACATTCAAATATAATATATTCAAAGCTTGGTGCACGAGAGCGTTTGTCTGGCTTCTTCTCGCTGTTGGGCGCATCAAGGAATGGGTGGTTAAGTTGATCAGTTGACTGGAAATGGTAGTTCTCATCCAAAAACAACACAGGTTGGACTGCAGGATTGTAATAATCGGGTCTGCAGCATTTCCTCTACAGGTCTTCATCCCTCAAGCAACGACTCGCCAAGGCTCAACACCCACAAAAAGTAAGCTCCAACTACCTCCTGAGAAGATGGTTGGGGTGGGTTTGGGGGGCCCAACCACCTTCTGAAGATATGGTTGGAGCCCTAGGGTAATACATGAACGCTTCAAAGTGGACATTGCTAAGTGAGGACTGCTGGCCTTCCCACTGTAAACGGTAAACGCCACATGCAGAACAAGGTTCAGCAAATCACAGTTACTAAAAAAAAAGGACTCAAACTGCAATTACCCACTGTACACGCAAGTTCGACAAAGCTGTTTCCACCCACTTCTGTTTGCAGTTAAACAAAAAAACACGTCTCGACTTCAACAACTGGCAGTAGCCGCTGTGACTTGCCTTTTTTTGGAAGCCACTATATATAGGAAACCATTGAAACACCCAAAGTCGTGACATACAAATGAAACCTTCCTATCTACTTTGTGAGCTCCCTGTCATCCTCTCTTCGATTCTTGCTTTCTTCGCCCCACCCGAGAATCTCCGATCCTTCCAAGTCGCTGCTTTGACCGCATGACCCGCCCCTGAAGGCCCACCTCACTGGAAACAGAACGGGTCGCGTTTCGGCTGGTCGGCTGGCCTGGTCGGCCGACTGGTCGTCTGCGGCGAATCGTCTGGACATGCGCCACAGCCGGTGGAACCGACCTGCTGAGATCATCTACATCATGGTCCAACGAGCATGTGATTTTTCTTCCCCCTGTCCGACCACCACAAAGAACTCGTGATTTGGCAATCCCCTGCAAGATTGGAACCTCAAGTTTCTTCTACAAACCCCTGGTTGGTCCATCTGAATCTACCAGGATCCTATGCTGGGCTCTGAATCTACCAATGGATCGGTGCTGGTCGTTTCGCTTCAGAAGTCCACGCCACATCTCACCACCTTCTGCGCAAAGGTTTGGAGAACTGGCAGCGCCTTTTCGGCCGCTTCAGGCGAATCGCTGCCCAGCATGCAGGTGAGACTGCCTCGAGAGGCAGGGAAAACCACAAGCAGCTGTTCCCATCATTCGATCCCGTGCTGAATGTCACAATAACTAGTAACTAGTATTGAGAATTGAGACCCTGTCAGAGTTTACTATAGAAAACACATGAACACCGCGACGTCTTGTTCCTCCACCGTGTTTTAAGCCAAGCCATTGCGGTAAGCCTGCAGCAGCTCCGAGAGGACCACCACTCACCGGACAGTCCAGAAAGTGCAAACCTGAGCTGTGAAGTGGGACGAGAGTGTCCGCAAAATAACTCTTAAACCAACCACTCTTAAAGACCAACGCTTCATTAGGCATTGGAACACCACCTAATTTTAAGCGGTCATACCACCACTACTACAACCACTCTTTGAAAACTAGCGAGTCCTTCCCCTTTCACCCAAGCGCCAAACAGGCCTCTAGGACCGCTCCGACATGGTGGACCGAAAGACCGGTCGCTTCATCGGCCGAAGACCGGAAACCGAAACCCAACAGCAGTGAGTTGTGAAAGAATGCGAGGTAGCCTGTAGCCTTAGTTGCGATTAGCATTCCTGTTGCCGTTTTTTTGTGTGATTTTTCGTTCTCTGGAACTCCAAAACTCCAGAACTCCTCCAGTCCAAGTCCGCCATGCAATCCAGCGGGCTGTGCCCCGTTTCGGCCTCCCGTTTCTTGAACACCAAGGCACCGAAACGCTCGTGTAAGGAGTTTGCAAGGCGCTTGGTCACGGTCGGCACCCCCGAGGTGCAGGAGACAACACAGGCGCCCCTGGGCAAATGCGGCGCCAACTGCTCCACAATGGCCTCATCCTCCGAAGTTCAACTCTGAAAAGCACGGCGTGCCGAAATGGGTGGCATGCTCAACCTGGACCATTTTCGTTCAAGATTTAGAGCTTATAAGTGCCGTGCTACAGCCGAAAACAAACAGCACTGTTCGGCAGTCTCTTGGAGTCTCCGTCCAAGGAGTCAAACGAGCCCTCGCGGAAGACAATCCGATCAGCACGGTTTTTTAGGATTGCCCTCCTCTTCTGAAGTTGGTAAGCAAAAGACCAACACCTGGCCTCGGCGCCACGTGTTAACGAGCACAAATCAAACAGAAACCAATGCCTTGAAGGCTTGTGAAGACAATTGGAAACCGTGAAAGAAACCATAAGAAAACGATCCCAGCAGTTCCGAGCAAACGTCGAACACCGTGGCAGAATGGAACAACTGTCTTTCGCTCAAGCGCCTGACTAACCCAAGGTGTCAAGATCTCCAGGCGATGATGTAGCAAAAAAACAACTGATGTAGAATACCCACTGTGCGGGAACGTTTTCTGATGGGTTTTTTAAAGAGAGTTTGTTAGGAGGATCCTAATCGAACCTCCATGAGGTCGCACCAACATCAGCTAAGTAGATCAAGGGCTTTCTTAACCAGGGAAGGCTTTTGCCACCCACAAAGCTTCTACACGCCGACAAACCCCTGGGGGGCGTACCCCAAACATGAAAACTAGACAGTCAATTCAATGCTTTTGATCACATGGGAATTAAAAACAAAAATACATATGCGTCTGACAATGTGCAATATTGTTATATAAATATTATGTATACAGTATGTAGATGATTTCATCTCCTTTTTGCACACCCTTGCTATGCAAACACTACTCATACTACTCAGTGCTTTTGACATCCAAACGTCTGGACTTCAGCTCTTCCAACTTCTCCGCATGCACAGAGCCAAACTCTTTGGAGTGCTGGGCGGCCTTCATCTGGGTGCGGTTCCTTGGGCAGTGCTGGCTAAGTACCAGCTCCGCAGGAAGATTCTCGCAGGCCGACTATGTACGCAAGTGGTACCCCAAGATCAGATCGAACTTCAACTGATTCAACTGTCTGCGAACCACGCTTAAAACGAACGGAGTATGGTGTGAAAGCTCAGGATATCTTTACATTCCCTCACAAGCAGTCGTCAATCAATAATGTAGTACCGCGGGATCTCGTTCTAACCCATTCTTATTTATCTTATTTAGTGCCTATATATAATATATAAAGACAAAGAGAGAGAGGGAGAGAGAGAGAGAGAGTGGTGGTATGTGCCGAAAAACTTCGCGAAGTCCGCTCAATGGTGGCAGTCTGGAATTGGCGTTGAACACGTGGGGGATCCTAGGTTCCATCCCCTCTGGCCTTTCATCTCAAAGGCTCCAAACCGTACACCTGGAGTGGGCCTTGGCCATGTGCCCAGCCATGTGGTAGCCCATCGAGCCTAGTGCATCAAATGACGCCGGGAGGAAGATTTCAAGAACTTCAAGTGACTCCAGTTGAACAACAACAGGCTGAGAAACAAAATAATTGATTGGGAGGGGCGACGCAAATATGTTATTGCAAGGCTCAATATCATCGTACTGATTCATCAGCATGCAACCCATTGAATGGATGTGCCACGAGCAATGACAACAGCGACAATTGCAACGAGAATTTAGCTACCTCTTCTGAATCCAACCTTTTCATCACTTCCGTGTGCGGTGTGTTTTAGGAATAGTTTCTGCCGGTAGGTCCTTCAGTTTGTTCTGACTTGGAAACGGAAATCTGGTGCCGCGGGGCCGGGTGGATTCGCCAAGTCATTTGTCTGCCAAGATGAACGAATTCATGCAAGTGTGTATTAAAACCTAGGTCGAACCACTGGAAGTAGTACGCCATCCATGGAAGGGTCTCCGTAGTAGTCCCATATGCGCCCATTTGACACTATGGTGCACCACGGGCAAAAACAACTGGGAACTCTTGCTGCTCCTTATGACCTAATCTTCCAACACTTCTTCCCACATCTTGCATCAACAGAACCGGTCTCAAAAAGGTAGGCCAGTGAAAATACATGACAATACATCCTAGCAATGTCAGGCATCGCCACCTCCCAAGCTCTTGAAGTGCTCATCCATGCTCATCCGCAGGCAAGGCACCTAAGCCAACAAAGCCCACGGGCAAGCTGCTGACTCCTCCCATTTCCGCCGCCGGGCGCTTCCTCGACATGAAGCGGCAAAAAGGTGCACCAGCCGCGGACACAGAGTCAAGCTGCAAGCAAAAGAGGACTGTGCGGACCGCAATCGGTGGCTAGGTGTCAAACACTCACTTCTCCTGGAACAACGCATCCGAAGCACAGAGTTCGGAAGCCCCATCTCGTTTTCAAGATGTTGTCAACATCATTTGCTAGCATGTTTAACTCAATATATCCTAGAGGTTTCAAGTTTAAAGGTGTTCATTCTAGGAACCTGTTAAAGTGATCATCCTCTGCCGTCAAAAGTGCGTGATTGCGCTCGATGCAGCAAAAGCAATGCTCAACGGCAGGGGCGGAGAAGGCATCCAAAAGGGGCAAACCAGCTGGTGGATGTGAGCTTGCTCTAGTCCCCTCTTGATGACAAACCATGACTGATTCACAAAACTGCGGGAAAACTCCTTCTCCCGAGTCGACCCCATGGCCTATCCCGGACCTATCCCAAGGTCTACACATGCGCAATTCGACAAAGCGTGAGACCCACCCCAGGAGACTGTTGCTGTGAAAATGCGGCAGCTGTTGCTTAACTGGCTCAACCCACTCCGATGTAGAATCTGGTTTCAGCGCAACATGCGCAACCTCCTCGGTTGGTTCAATCAGCTAAATCTGCTTCAATATTCAATCAAGCTATAAAGCAGTGGATCATGACGCTTTCAAACTGTGTTGTTCTTACTAGTTCTTTTGTTAGGGGTCAACCCTTGACCCATCGGTCGACTGTGCGGTTTTCAAGTTTGGGAACCACATGTCTCACGTCGCACGTCTCGTGAAGCCGCTTTTTGCGGGTCGGAACCACTCGTGGTCCGAGCGCGAGTGGAAGCGCCATCCAAACGACACATCCAAACGGGATGAACTCCTCCTCCCGCTCAGAAGAAAATGTGTAGAAAAAAAGCGTGAGTCACTTGAGACCTTGTGTGTGTGTGATGGATGTCTTCCCTGCACAAAAATCCTAATATTTTCCACCATGTTCCACCATCCAGGAGCCAGCTGCCATTTGACCTGGCAAACTCCCAAAACGATCTAGATATGGTACCTCCCATGTATTGGGATAGGGCTTGGATCCATGCTTCCGGCTCATTATTTGTTGCCAGAACGTCGACCTCCTAGTACACCTCCCAACTTCCTGGCGCCTTCTTGTTCCAGTAGGGACACAGCTGATGGCCGTAGCCCAGCACCGGTGGACGGCGCCTGGATGGCCGAATCGTAGAATAAACCTTGCAAAATCCGGAATCAAAAATGGCGTCCAACCTACTAGCGATGACCTCCACCCTACTAGTGCAAACATTAACTACTGTAATGACTTAAACTTCAAATTCCACCAGCTTCGTTGCACCATGTTGCATCCCTGCAACACGTGTTGGTTTCATTCGCCTGTCTTCCTGACCCCTGCTTGCCCATCTCAAATCGCCAAGCAAACATGTCTTCAAATCTAAGCAATTCACTCATCCCATCCCGGAAAACCCTCCAAAATGCCATGACAAGCAGATTCTCAAAGACTATGAACGCTGACTTACTTGAACCATTTAGGTCTGTCCCTCTGCCCCTGTCCATCACCGATTCACCCAAACATGGATCCCTCCATGAGGGCTTATGACGTGTTTACACCATACAACCTACCATGCTAAGAAAGCGGACCTGTAAGGGCTGCTTTGGATCTCACTGCCAAACTGAGGCCCTGGCACGTCTTGGTAGGTATGCGCCTCAGAAGGGAGGACAAATAAACAGGGGCTATACAAGTTAAAAGAGCTGGAGGCGTGGAAAATCCAGGCTCCAACTGTTGAACTTTCAGATTGCATCATCTATACCGAATACCAAATAGAAAAGAGTCTTCAATCGACCAACCGCCGCTGCTGATCCACCTTTGCTTTTCACGATGTGCATCCGAGGATGCCTCTGCGCTTTCCTTTGGAAGCAGCGCCACTGGGCCATCAAAACAGCACCTATATATAGACTCTAAACCATTGAACATGATGGAACCGTTTCTACCTGAAGAACTTCAGGTGAAACTGTTCATTGGGCTAGGCCACAGCCACGTGGGAAAAGGCCACAGCTCACCATGAAAGTTATAGAGAGAACTCTGAAGTTTCATCTTGAGGCTTCTCATCGTTCTCTGGACAACTCCTCTTCTCAACTGCCACGGTTACTGGCGCCGGCTTGTGGAACATGCCGCCATGCTCAGCCCAATAGTAGCAGGGGGTCAGCAACGCCCAGAACATCACATAGCCAGCATGCACTTGGAAGGGAAGCAATGGGTGATGGATGGGCTGATAAAAGCAAAAGCCCGCAATCACAGCTCCCAGGTTGCCACCTGCACCTACAAGTGCAGAGACCACAGCCAGCTGCTCTTTGTTCATAAAAGGCACGATGCCATAACTGGTCCCTTCCGCCATCTGCACGAACAAGGAGAAGCAAATTTGGACCACCAGCGCAACATACCAGGGTTGTGAGTTATCCACGAGGCCAAAAATGAAGAGAAAAATTGCCTCGAAGAAGAGAGTTAAGAATTGTGCCCATATTCGGCCTCGGAAACCCACATGCTTGAAGAGGAGGTCACTGCTGATGCCACCTCTGAGCAGCTTTTCTCGAATTTAACAACAACAGTGGCAACAACAACAACAACAGCGGAGTCACTCGACTAATTGGTGCTTTGTGTATATACGTGCATATAAAAATACATATACTATTGGGGCTGCTGAGATCTTTTAAGGGCTGTGAAAAGGGATCCGGTCTGGGAGGCATTCAAACATCCCTCCTCTCTCCCTCTCTGATAAAAATTATGATGGAGACATATATGTAGTAAATGCGCCCCCAATCAAATCAAACCAGCCACTTTAGATCACTTTATTGTGGCACCGCAGTTCCGCCAGCCAATAGGGACGCGAACACCATCCGACTGTAACATACCTACTACATGCCCATCGGTCACTTCGCGTGGAAACCTCATTCTGTGTCAAAGGCTGCAGCCTTGACTGGCACCTTAAAGGCCTACTACCCGATTTAGCAGGCGGCAAGGGCGACTGAACAGTTGACCAGGCCTAAAGATCTGGCAAAAAGGTTCATCAACCCAAAAGCTCCGGCCAAGGCTGAAGCATCAGCTGCAGGCATCTGGAAATAGGTCCTGAAATGTGTGGCCAGCTGGTTGTTCATGGCCTCAGCTGAGCATCCGGCAGCATCTCGTTGGAGCCGATCGCAAGATCTCCACGCAAAATGTTGGACCACATTAGCAGGAACTAAGAATGCTCAGCAATTCCACGAAAAAAAAGTTGTGAAAAACTATGAGACACCGCGGTTTGTGTGTTCTTCTGTTCAAAGTCGCCCAGCCACCATGGTAAAAAATGTCCTTTTCGAATCGCTTGCCATAAGCCAGATTTGTGGAGGCCATACGGTTGAGAGAACTGCAACCAACCAAGTACACTCCCTGGAACTAATATGGAAGTGGAGAATGGTCCCTTAAAAGACAATTTTCCACTACAAACAGGTGGTTGTCCGATCCACTTCCATGTTAGTTCCAGGGAGAGTATCTCTCCTTTCAACACTGATGGGGAATTGCAGTCTCAATGGGTCTTGGGAGTTGTTGATTTCAGATATTTCAGCATGGCTTCTGACAAAGCAAGGCTTCTCCTTGCTGCCTTGTCAGGGTCATCAAGTCCAAGTGGCTAGCTCTGCGCCAAAGCATGCCGAATATTGGAAGATCATCACCAGCACCCTCACATCCTTCAGCACCTCAACATAGTCCCACAATGAGGGTTGCCTGGTCTTGCCGATGGTGGCCACATCAATGTGTTTGGCTGTTGGCATGTCCCAACATAAGAGCTTCAAGGCCGCAGCGCAAAGAAGGAACAGGATTGCAGGGATGGTCATCGACACGCGCCAAGCCGTGTCAGCCGTCAGGCCGCTGTTCACCATGGGGTCGAATAGCACAGAAATCATGAAGATTTGTGTGACGCCACCACCTAAGTTTCCCCAACCTGCTGCTGTAGCATTCGCCGTGCCCACGATGCTTTGAGAAAACATCAAGGAGCACCAGAACTGGTTGGTCACGAAGGTGGCCCCAACAAACCCAATGAAGAATCGGATCACAGTGTATTGCCAAACTTCTTGGATGAGGGCAGACAAGGCGACCCAAAGGGCTCCAAACGTCAAAAGGCCTGCCTCAGTGATCGCTCGGGCAAACTGCACCTGACCAAATGGGAGTACCCATTGAGTACTCCAAAAAGTTCCCCTTGTTCTGGATTCGGTGTTCCCTTGACCGCTGCTATGTGTGGATGAAAACCCGAGTTGATAGGTACTTTTTGGGTCACATCTGGACTCATCGTCTACCTGCAGCCTGAACCCCACACCGGGCTAATTACATCTCCAGCCCTGTCGATGCGACCCAGCCATCTGTTCTCTTTGGATGGCGAACAACACCGCCGAACATGCTGGGCGCCTGGCCTGCACATTCACGGGGCCAAACCTCTCCAACAGTGTCCCCAATGCAATGCGCACGAACATCGTTGAGGCGACCGCAGCAACTCCGGCATTGGCGATGATGCGATTGCATTCCGTTCCCGTAGTGCAAACACACCTGAGATGCTGAATCCACTGAAGGAGCGGAAAAACATTGGCTATACTGTATATTTTATACGCGCTACACACACATATAATATATATATATACAATTATCAATTATCTATATTATAAATCTACGCAATGTATATTATAAGTATGCTCCGCCTGAGATGGGCATTTTTATGGCCCCACAGGGAAAGCACCAAGCCAGTTGGCTCGACTCTCACTCTGAAACAATGGATGGTGGTGAATGATGGCCTTTACTACTCAAGATTTGTGATAGAGCTGCTCCACTGTTAAGGCTGAGGCAATTCCCAACGAACAACCCTCATCTTGACCACTCCCAAGGCACTTGGCCAATACTTCTGGCCGATACTTCTTGTTCTCCGTGCTGGCACCTGCCACCGAAGGCACTGGTACTTCGGCACAATCCGAAGGCTTCACATCGTCAGGGATCAGCCCATATTGGCAGTATTGGTCGCCAGAAGTGAGGTTCGTGTACTTCAGGTATGCCAGCCGCTTCGGGTGGCTCTCCGGTGGGTACATGAGATTCTCACAGGTTCCCAAGCTTGCTGCCACTTCCTGCCGGAGTGATCAACCGGAACCCGAACCGGTGAACAGGTGAGGCAAACCATGAGGGAAAACCCATCGGCATAATACAAACATCATCACCTTATAAGCAAAGCCAGGCTTCCAGACCCAAAGGAGCTAAGGCAAACCAACCTAAGAAGGCCAGAAAAAAGGACAATGTAGCGCCCCAAAAGGCTCGCATATGTGGGTTGGCACTCGCAGTGCCCCAAACTCGCCGCAATGGCAGCTCTGTGGCCTTGTTCTTCTCATCGACAGCTAACTTGAATTCCGACATTTATCAGGACTCGTCTTGTATGCTGCTGTCTTGAACCAAGGGCAAAACTACACACACAATCAGTCCTACCGTTTGACACTGGAACGGCATCTTTTCAGGGTCCTGGTGCTGGTAGATGTTTGCTTGATAAATCATGTTTTGTGACTAGGGACACATCAGCACGGAATCAGAACTGAAAGCAAAAGCCAAGAACAGTACTGCCCGAGATGGTAGATCGAAGCTTGCCGGCAAATGAGAATTCGAATTTCAAGAAATCATGAAAGTAAAAGGAGTGAGCCACTCTAGCCGTCGCAATTGTGTAAATGCCCCTCAAAAGCGAAGGAAACATGAACGGCACAGCAAAAGGAGGCAAGAATCGAAGAGTCGAAGCCAACGAGGATGAGCCAAAAGCGCAACAGCGTCGATCTGGGGAAACAGCATCGGATAGGAGCTGAGCCAAACATCGTTCCAAACCCTCACAAACCGATGAGAACCGGCCAATGAAGTTGAAGAGAGTCAGGTTGTAGCCCATGAGGAATCATCCTGGCACCTGTAGCTGCTCACCTGGTTTTTAGTCAGTGCCGCAGCCCCAGAACCCGGCAGCCAAAATTCACTCAGACTCAGCCGCTTCAGCCAAGTCCTCACTCAGTTTATGGTAGCCACTGACATCCACTGATCCAAGCAACTTCTAGCCATGAAGTGGTAACATGTGGTAGCTGGAACCTCATCTCCGGATATCATGAACTTGTATTTCAAAACCACGAGGAACAAATCCAACACCAAGGTTGCAAAATTCATTGTTTGCGGCAAGTGTGTTTCCTATGGCTGGAGTCGGCTGGACCCAGCTAGGCTAGTCTATGCCAGCTTTATATATTGGAAGGCTCAGCCCATGTCACTCACGAGGCTCAGCCCATCCCAGGGTAGGTCTAGGTGCCCGGGCATACATACAGTTTTGCCAGTCATGCTGCGCACCAATCGGGCACCTCACCCGAAAATCCACGTGAATGTCAGGAAGGAAGTTATGAACCATTTCGACTGCAAATGTTGGAAACACGTTCAGCACTTTGGGTGTGTAGTACAGGAGCGGCGGCCCAGCAAAAAAAACAAAACAACCAGAAAAGGAACACAAGCAAACTAAGTAAACCAGTGGCGGGCCTCTCTACATTCTGATTCCCCTAGATCCACTCTCACTTTCTGGTTGCCACGCGTGATCTGTGGAAGACCCACCGGGAAAATGCCACATGCTGACATGGCTGACATGGTGCTTCCGGTGGACACCAACACTCAGTTTCTGGGAGACAAACGTTTCACTCGTAAGAAACGAACCACAGGTGATAACGGTTTAGGTTGGTTGGCACGGATCTACCCACTGAGTCTGCAAAAGCCACGAGCCGGAGGTGCCACATGGTCTTGAACTTCTCAGTGAAAAAGGCCACCTAAGGAGCCGTCAAAACGGCTTCATCACAGCCAATGTTTGTTCTATGGGTGTGTTTTCTTCATCCTGTATGCAAAAGGTGCTTGCACACAGCATTTAATCATTAGCAGCACGGAACAAGCGCAAGCATCTGTAGACACATCGCTTGGGAGTTAAGGCTCATCAGATCCGGAAAGCAGTGAACTCAGGTGGTGAAAAGCACGAACCCATCTACTGTGGGGGAGCGGATGTCTTCGAGGAGCATCCTTCGTAGAATGGGAAAAAGACAATTGTGGCCTTGCCATTGTTACCTTTTCAACCACCCTGGGCAAAGCGCCGCCGAAGTTGTTGGGATCCCTCTCTTTCGATTCGACCGTGTGCCGTGTGCAGGACTTTCCTATGCTCAACCCGGCTCAAGCGTTCTCACCTGATCCAAATACTTGCCTCGCCCATCTTTCCAAATCTTCCCACCATGCCCCCTCCAATCTCCAAGGTGCCGTCAGGGCCTCCGGAAGTGTAGCTTCCTCTTCCGGCGTCAGCAACGGGGCGGTGACCTGACGGCTAGGCACCAAAGGGCGAGAATGGCAGGTCCGGAAACCATGCTGGAGAGAAGTGACCTCTCAAGCTGTAGCATCAAGGGCACTCATGTCGAAGTCCTGCATAAACCCCGCATACATCCGCATACATACATATTTGCCCGAAAAGGTAAGGTACGGTGTACAGTGCAATGTGCGAGAACACCAGTGTCCGTGTGAATGAGAACATGTTCACAAAGGAGCGCATCGGACCCTCGTTCGATCTCCTCTCCGGTTGCGTCCAAAAATCATTCTCTCCTGGTGTGCAGCATCCTCCCAGCACTCCCCCGTTGCTGCTCAGTTCCGCCTCCTCCCGAGAATGTGCGAAGGCACAATGGGCGCCATGACCTGACGTCGGGACCGACAGGCGCAGAAAACGACGTGTCCTGAGTGTCCAAAGCAATACCATAGAGCAATGCCATACATATCCATACATCTTCCAGGACCGTGAAAAGGGCCAAAAAGCAACGTGTCGGAGAGAACGTCAGTTGGACAAGGTGTGAATGAGAAATACTTCCGCGGGATCCTCTGGTAGCTCAAAAAGTGTCTCACCATCAGGAGAACCATCTTGCAAGTGGTTTTGACGAAGGGAAGCTTAGCCACTTAGCCTGGCTTTCTGTGGAGCTAAGTTCTAGAAGTCCATTTTACCTAGACCCGGGTTTTGTCCTTCCTTTTTGTGAAAGTATATCATGTATCATTTCAAGATGCCAACCATCCAGATCTTTCCAAAACTGGCCGAGTCTGCGCAAGCAACATAGCGTGACACTGCACCAGGTACCCGGCGGCAGCGTGACACGTTGGGGTAGGTGGCACAGAACCTCTGCTTGGGTGGAAGGCCTGCGCTGAAGCTTGGCTGACCAGAAAGCTCAATCCCAACCTTCTAACCCGACATGGTCGGACATGGTTTCTGCATTTCCTAACAGGAAGGAAGGAATAAGGTCAAAAACGTCAGCCTCATGGGAATCAGTCTTAATCCCTGCAGTTCTAGTCTCAAAAAATGCACCCCCGGCAGCTCCAGCTCTCAAATTTATCTGACCCCTTCGGTGTCCTTCCAAGTTCTTTCACACTCGTGGTTAGATTGGAGCGATATGATTTGCTGGATGCAGAACAGTTCCGTTGACTTGTCAAGAAGGATGCAACACACTTGGTACACAACTGACTCGAACCGCTTTCGTCGGAATCGATTCGGTGCCCCGACCCTTCGCGCGTCCTGCAAAAAAACAAACGCGCCGCTTGGCGCTGTCTGAACATGAGAGTCATGAGAGTCAGTGATTGTTCCCACAGTTGTGGGAAAGGTTTCCAATCCCAGTAGGTTTGGGTCCTTTGGGTTTTGCATCTGAAGAAGTGCGTCGGGAATCCTTGTCAGAACTTGAAGCTACCAGTTGATCAAACATAAAAAACAATTTCATTATGCCGGGACCTATGAGACCCCTAAAAACGTCCATGGGGACTTATTGCTGCACAAATCCACAGCACCACCTGGTGAGAAGGGATCGACCATTGCCCATCCGGTATGACAGCATGTCTCCTCAGTACATCAATCAAGCACACGTCGCATGAGTGCAGAGTAAGAAATGAAGGCCTGACCTGGACCCTAACAAAGCACCAGTCAGTAATGTATTTGTGTGACTTTGTGTGGGTAGCATTGCTGCGCATGTTGTCCCTTTGATTGTCGAAGGGCTGGTGTAAGAGCGGCCATCGCAATGCCAACAACAGCGAAACAACAACAACAACAACAAGAAGGTACAAACAAAAACTGCAACCCCGTTACACCACATCTTCTTTCTTTTTCTCTACTGGGGTAGAAACAAATTCTGCAACCCCGTCGTTGTTTTTGACCCCCCCCAAAAAAAACAACCAAACAACAAGCACTTTACTGCTACTACTACTAGTGGTACTAGTGCTACTACTACTAGTGGTAGACACCCCCCACCCCGGGACGTGTGGACAGTGCGCGGGGCGTGTGCGGAGGCGGAGGGGGTGGAAACCCGGTTCTCAATCTATGCACTGAAAATCATTTTTTTCTTGGAGACTCCTGGAAGTTTTTGGATTCCAATGGAACAATATGGTCGATTTAATCGCCTTCTTAGGGTCTATGAAACTCCTCTGAGGGTCATGCTACTGGTGATGCTTATTGTAACTGGTTAAGTAAACCCTGTAAAACTTCTACTTAGAACCTCTACCACATCCTAGAAACAAAAACTGCAACCCCGTGGTTGTTTTTTGGACCCCCCCCTTCCAAAAGATGTTGTTGTCTCTACCCCCCCTAGAAACAAAATCTGCAACCCCGTTGTTGTTTTTTGACCCCCCCCCACACAACACAACAAAAAACAAGAAGCAGACCAACCAAGACTCGAGTACTACAACAACAAGAAGTCCAGCTACTAACATCTCTCCAAACCTTCGACCCTATCCCTAACAGAATCCCATTGAAATCCCTGACTTGCAACATGTGACAACTATGTTGGGCGGCTGTTTTTGTCTCTACCAACAACAACAACAACCACGACGACGACGACGACCACGACGACAACGACAACAACAACAACAGGGTTCCTGGCAGAATCTTGCCATGCTGCTTACCCCAAAAACAATCACAGCCTCGCCAAAAGGTTCTTCGAGAGCCAGGCGGGTTTTCCGCAAAGTACTGCACCTCCATCTTCAACGGCAACATACGACAACCGACAACTCACCAGGGCTAGAACACCAAACACATCCTCCGTTTCCTTCGCTGCTCTGTGCTGTCCTGGTCCGTACCCGGCATTTCGCCACCTGGCCGAGTGCCAAACAGATCCCGAATACTGCGGGTTGTCAAAAACTCACATAAATAGTCGAATGCATCGCAAATCAATTGAATCCTAGAATAGAAAACTAGCATGGGGCTATGCAAGGCTAGGGCTTGTCAGGATATTGTGGAACCTCTCGAATTCTGTTTAAACAGCAAGATTCGCTCATGCATTCAGGTCACGTACCTTTAGAAAATCACCCAGAAAAAAACAGGTCCTTTGTCAATGGCAACCATAGCCTTGCGA